TTTTTTTAAGTTCAATTTGCCATACTGCTAGATACTTAATTCCTATACTAGCAATAATATTTGATAATCCAGAATCTCTATTTCAACTGGATTATTGCTATAATTTGCTCTCTTGTTTTTCTACATTTAGTCTTTCCCCTATAACAGTGCCAAACTATCTTCCTAAACCATTGCTTTGACTCTGTTATTCACCTGGTCAGAGAATTAGCAGTGGTTCTCCACTGTCTATAAACTCTTCACTCTGGCATTCAAAATCTTTCAGTTTGACCCTCAATTTACTCCCCCAACCCTTTTCCTATTACTTTTTTATATCTATTTTATCTCAGCCAGGTTGACCACTTACTGTTGCTCAGATATGATGAGTTTCTTCACCAGGTTTTTGTGCTGCCATCTTCCTTTGGGATATAGCTCCCATTTTACATGCTTAAAATCTTCAATATTGTTTAAGACTGAGTGTGAACTATTATGAAGCCTCCTGAGATTGCCTAAAGTTGACTTTGTTTCCTTCTTTCACACCTTTTAAAATATATTTTCTCATTCTCTTCTCTACCAGTTATCTGTTCTGTCCATTTTATTATAAACTCTAAATTATGACCTTTACCAGATTCTGAGGACATGGAATTTATTTATTTCTGTATGATTCACAACCAGTCAAGGCCTTAAACTAGGGGGTGCACAATAAATAGTTATTTAAATAAGTAGGAAGTCCACCCTATAATAAATGCTATAGTAGAGATTTGCACTGACGTCCAGAAGCCTGTTTTTGAAGGGCTGGAAATGGGACACTTATTTGGAGGGAGGGATCCTTTCAAGCAGGAAAGTCTTCTTATAGGAGGCAACTTTAGAATTAGGCTTTTAAAAATGAGTAACTTTTGAAGTAGATAATGAAAAGGAACTAATAGGCAGAAGGAAAAGAAGGTATAAAGAAAATACATGACATTAAAAAATAAGGTGCAGTGGCACAAAGGCATCAAAAGGCATACTGTATTTGGCAATCAGACATTACTGATATGCCTATAATGCCTAGGACAGATATGCTGTATAGCTGAAGTCTAGGGCTAGATAATGAAGGATATTGTGGGCTATGCTAAGAGTAAGATTTACTTTATCATACAGGTCAGCTGTTTACCTTTTAGAGAATGAGGGCCCCCTTTTTATTGTAAAAGAAGTTATGCCTTCCAAAGTAAATGTTTTTTTAGCATTTATTGAAATGATAATGTCTACATACTACAAGTTCATGATCACTTTGCTAATCCCCAAAGCTTGTACATATATGAATATATATATATATGTATGTATGTATGTATCTCATTTTAAAATTCAACTTTCAATTTTAGTGGGTATACAGACTCCTAGATTACTTGCAAAAACTGTTCCCCAACCTCAGCTAATCCAGATGATCTACAAGTCAGGAAGTACTACTGTATAAGATATGTAAGATATTTAGAGGCACTGAAATAGATGGAAACTGACACAATTAGATTGGAGTTTAAAAAAATACTTTGGTAGCAGTGCTAAGAATGGACTAGAGCAAAGTGAGACTGGATACGGAAGGGTCACTTTAAGAGACTGTGAAAGAATTCTACTTGTCTTTCAATGTATCTTACTGTGTCTTGTACACATGGCTGCTCACCTACAGACTGTACTTCCCACCTTCTTATGGCCATGTGACTGAAGTCTCACCAATGACTTGTATTTGTGACATATGTAACTTCCACCTCACTTGGTTAAAATCCCTTCCACCTGCTCTGATTTCTCTTTCCCTTTTCTCAAGTGGGAACACAAATTAGAGAGTCAGCATTGACTATGTAAATGAGCACAATGCTCTAGGACAGGGGTTCTTTACCTGGGGTTCCTAAATCTCTAAGGGATCCATAGATAGAATTAAGAGGGGTTGTCTTGAACTGACTGTAACTGAAGTTTAACATTTTTTTCAATTATGTATGTAGGCACAAATCACAATAGTATTAATAATATGTGATTTTTCCCACCAATAGAAAGCAGATATTTTCATATTTATAATTGTTGCATGTATTATTTCAGACATTTGTGGTCATCAGTACTATGAAATTAGCTACTAGACCACTGGATCTTGTTATGTGTTAAAAATTTGTAATTTTTACTATTTTAATAACCATATTTCAAATATTGTTTCCTTTATTATCCTATATATTTTATTTTATGCATTTAAAAACTATTATGAGAGGGGTCATAGGATTTACTGGATTGCCAAAGGTGGCCATGGAACAAATGGTTAAGAACACTTCTCTACAAGATTAAAGCACACAGACTGAAGGAAGGTGGTCTCTGAAGGAGTTTATGGAACAGATACCTTGTTATCTTAGACTGCTCATCACACAACTATTATTTGAAAAAAACACTTATCTTACTTAAACCATTTTATTTTTCAGTCTCTTTCTTACAGCAGCTTATCCTTTACCTTCAGTAAGGTTATTAAAATAGCTTGCATTGGTAACAGTCAGTCCTGAATTAAAGAAATGGCAGTCAAAATGGAAAGAAATTAGAAGATTTTGGGAAGCAGAATTTACAAGAGTGGGTGATCTATTTGCTATATGAACCTCAGTAGAAGAAAAGCAAAGATAACTCCCAGGTTTCTAGAGTGGGTGACTGGGTAGAATTGGTATATACTGTTAATCAAAATAGGGGTTATGAAGAGAGGCAGGTGTGATTTGAGAAAATGAGTTAAGTTTAGAAATGGTAGGTTAGAGAAGTCTATGGTACATACAGAGAAAGTGGTGTAAGAGACAATCAGAATTGCATTTGACAACTCAAGAGGAATCTGGGCCTGGCTAGAGAAAAATCTGAGGGTCATTGGCATACAGATGGTATAGACAAAGTGAACTGGGGAGCATATACAAAGTAAACAAAGAGCTAAGGACTGGCCCCTGGCAAATACTAACATTTCAGATATGGTAGAAAAGGAGCAGTTTTGAATTTGTGTTCAGATCAATTAGCTAAAGAGGAACACAAGTATCATTTCTTACTTATATAGCACAATATTTGTACAAAAACAAAAGAACTATTTCAGAAGTTTCAGTTCAACATACCAAAGTTCTATTATTGTAAAGCATCAATCTAGAATAGTAATATGGAATAGTAAAAATTTTTTCATGGGCTCTGGCCTCTTAGTACATGTTTTTTGTTTTTGTTTTTTTCTCTCTGTAGCAAAACCTCTATGAGAAAACAATGTGAAACTCACTAAAATAAGTGTAGTTTCAATAACTATAAGTGACTACAAACTTAAAAGGTAATTTTTTTTATGGAGGATGTATTTAAATGAATTAAGTAAAAATGAACTAAATGAAGCTCTGAGAATGGAATTCTAGGTATTTGGGGATACACTTTTAGGGTAGGAAATTAAGAATCCTATCCAAGAAGACTCTCCAGCCAAGAAGACAGAGTGCTAGTAATTTAAGAGGAAAAACTATACACATTTTAAATGTACTTCAGCTATTCATTTTTCCAACATTTCTGTTATTACAAAAATTATTTCCTTATGAAATCTCCATTATGAGTTTGCTTACTCTAAGTCATTTCTAATTAACAAGTTTATGAAATAAACAGCTTAGTTCAGTCCAGTACACCAAGTAACATTTTACATTCTTTTGTCCAAACTATACATCTTCCAACCTTCAAAGAGTAGGCTTTTTAAGCCTAGAGATAAAGTAATTAAATTCCTGTTCACCTTCTATCCATGCCGTTCAGGATTTTAAAGACTTTTATCCTCTAAGCAAGTCTCTGTACAAACTGAAAACTTGTATTTTCTTAATTAAACTTTACATGAGAAACTATTCCTAATATTTGATTATTTTAATTTCTTTGGGTCATCTTAAATCTTCCTTTTGTTATGATAAACACAACTAGCAATAGTGTAGAAGGAAAGGAAAATATTTTCTGTTTTCATAACTTCCTGTGTTATATTGACCACTGTGAGAATCATATGGAGTTTTAAAAATAGTTAAAATTTTTCTCAAGTGATACATCAATATATTAAAAAGTAGTTTGAGTTATTTTCCTTGAAAAAACACTTTGCCCCTGTGTACAAGGGAGTTCATCCACCACACTTTTTGCCCATTTACAGCTCATAAAAATCTTTCTATAGTTTTTCTCCACTATCTTAACATTTCTTTATCCACTAAAACTTTAAAATCTTGGGTATTTCAAATGTTTTATCTTCTATAACAGTTCTGAAAAACAAGACAGACTCCTATACAAAACTTCGGAAAACTCTTTTTAAGCTACTTCCTAATTCTGACAAAAATTTTTTTACTCTGTGCTTATTAATAAAGGTAGAATCAAGGGAAAACTTCATCAGACTTAACAGTTTTAAATTTCCTTTATTATTAATAGAGTACACAAGCTAATTTCCAAAGGGGTGTCTTTTGTTCCAAGACATAGTCACATTAGCAAGATTGTATTTTAAATATAAAAGCAGATAGATATCCCACTTTATACCTTTTGTTCTTCAACCACAGGTTTAGTGTCACTGAAGTCATCGATTTTTAATGAATAGCTCTAGACTGTTTATTAAAAGCTATATGATACCGTAAGCACTACATATAGCACTACCTAAGCTGTGTTTTAGTGGAGATGTAGAAAAAAATTTACTTATGTCCAGAGATATGATATCTTCTGATAACTTTTAAGAAATATTTGTCATTTGATAATAAAAGATGAGAAGCTAGTTATATTAAAATAGCATTTTAAAAGAAGATACTTTCATTTCTTAGATCCTAGCATTATATATTTTAATTTGTCATAACAAATGAATTTTAAATTAATAGAAATAACATATACTACTTACAATAAGTAAAATGTCTCATTAAAGTGAGTTTGAGTATAAGTAGGAAGGAACCCACATTTATCTGATTCTTAGTATTTAATCCCTAAAAAGAACATATGCTTTATTATAGAATTAGCACTTTAAGAAAATACTGACAGTAACAACATACTATCAAAATGTATAACTCACAGCAGCTATGTAATTTGTATGTTTAACAAGTTAAATAAATGCATTTCTCAATTTAATCTACCTCCAATATCAATATTAAGGAATTCTTTAATTTTATCATATAATACCAATACCAAAGCACCCCCTGTACCACGAAGGATATTGGAGAAGGCACCACGAAAAAATGCACTGATTCCCTCATGTTGATATATCTTCACAAAGCAGTCTAAAGTTCCTTTATATTGCCGTTCAGCTTCACCACTCTATATGGACACAAACAGTTTGCCATTATTTTATTATCTTTTATCTTAAGATGTTTTTTATGCAGCACCAAAGATAAAATTAACATTAACAGTATGTTAATGGGCACATACTGAACACTGTGTGCAGTGGCTGGAGAATACTCATATTTTTTTGAGGTACACTTGAAAACCAACCATGCATTAGGCTTAACAAATTTCAAAAGATGGCATCACAAACTACGATTCATCCTTTCACTACACTGCAATTGAGTGAGAGAGCAACAGCAGAAAAGATACTAGAAACATATCATATATTTGGATATTAAGAAAAACACATCTTAGAAAATATTTAAAACTAATAATAACCACAAATCTCCTTGATTAAACTTGTAAGATGAAGCTTCAGTAGTAACAAAGACATTAATGACCTTGAAATATCAGAAAGGAAAGCTGAAGATTAATGAGCAACCTAAACATTTTTAGAAAAAGAATAAACCTAAAAAAAGTAGAAATATGAAAATAACCAGCAGAAATAAAGGGAACTAAACACAACAGAAAGCATACAAAATTAAAAGTTATTTGGAATATTTTACAAATTTCTGGAAATATTATTTTAGGAAAAATAATAAAAGGCCTCCAAATTATTAAAAATGGCTTTTAACATCACTGCAAACGTGATCCACTGAAGAGTATATTATGAACTTCATGAACAATATTTTGAAAACTTAGAAGAAATAGATAAATCCCTAAAAAAGTATAATTTACCAACAGAAAAGGAAAAAGGTTGGAAAAATACTGTATTTATTAAAGAAATTCAGTTGTTGATAATATTTTCATAAAGAAAACCATATGTCCAGATGGCTTTATATGTGAGTTCTACTAAACATTCAATGAACATTAAATTCTACTATTACAGAAATTATGCTACAGAATAGAAAAAGTGGGAAGACTGTATTTGGAGACAGGGTCTTTATTAAGGGAATTAAGGTTAAATGAAACTCTTTTGGCTGGGCCCTCATCCAATATGAACATTCTTTTAAGAGGAGAAACAGTAAAAGGACCATGGTAAGACATACAGAGAATATGGCCATCTACAACCCCAGGAGAGAGAGGCTCTCAGAAGAAACCAACTGTGCTGGATACACTGGTTCAGACTTACACCCTCCAAAATTGTGAGAAATTGTTGTTTAAGCCACTCAGTCTGTGGTCCTTTGTTATGGTAGCCCTAGCAATACTCATACATATATAAAAACCCACACAAACAATTGTTTTTCTGAATTATTTTGACAGTAAGTAGGAGACATCATGTCCCTTATCTTTAAATACTTCAATGTGCACTTTCTAAGAATATTTTCCTACATAGCTGAAGTAGTTATCAAAATTTTAAATGTTTAGCATTGTTCTGAGATTAATGAGTTAAAGTCTAAAATGCTTAAGACAGTATCTAGCACACAGTAAATAAGCACCATATTACTATTCTAGGTTTCTGAACTCTTTATTTTCACTTGCTCTCATGTAATTTATTATCTGGATATACTGAACTACTTCTTCAGCCACATTAACTTCTATATGTTCTCCACCGTTTAGAACATTCTCACAGGTTGGAGAAAAAGCCTATTTAACTGAGATTTAACTCGAAGAGGCCACATCTGATAATTTTGAGCATTCCTGGAACCTATGCACATTTCTATTTAAATCACTGTGTGCCTTCAATACTATGCTATGAAATTGGGTGCAGGTTCTGAATTATTTTAATTGTGTCACCATAGCTTTGCATAGGTCAGGCAGTCAAATATTTGCAGAATGAATGAATGTTAATAAGAAACATCAGCGGAGATCACTGATATTAAGTCAGTGGTATTAAAATTTTGGTTTGAGTATTTATATTTAGAACATAGATATAAAGAAGTTTTCATCCTGGAGATAAAAATTATTTTATTAAAGTATACTACAACAAATGATTACATATGTCAATGTTTGTGACTTGCCTTATTTTATTTAATCTGATATTCAGTTAAGATAGACAAGTTCATCCATTCTGCCTCCACCCTCCAAATAATATATGCTCAGGAGTAGAAGGCATTTGTGTTCTGATAGCAGATGAGAAGCAGCTTTGCTGGATTATGGCTGTTTTAGAATAGCCAAGAATACAAGATAATACATCATGCATTTATTTTAGTAAGTAAAATAAAATCTCTTCAGCCAAAATTTCTCTAAAATATGAACAAATTATACCCGAGTATCAGAGATATTGGAACATTCAGACTTACAAATAACATAAAATACCTGCATCATCATACGTCTTCTAACTGTGTCAAAGGGATAAGAGAGTATTCCAGAGCATGTAGTCACAACTTGAGCAATGAAAAAGGAGACAAGAAATGGAGTTTTCTTTGGTTTTGGTAATAAGCCCTGAAAAGAAAAATATATCAAGTGACCATGTAAATTTTCAAAATATCTTAAATCCTTAAGTCAAAGGATAATTCTTAAGTGAAAGAAGGCTCAATTATACTTAAAATGCAAACAACAGTTGGATTTAATGTGGAAAAATTAAAGTAATAGGAGGATGTCAATAAGAAAGGAGAATGCCATATATGACTACACTCTAATATTTGAAAAAGAAAAGCATATTTTCTATTACAAGAGATTTGTTACTACTAATGGCATCAAAAACTATGGGAGATAGCAGCTAGTAGACAATAAGTTCTCCCATGGCTTTTCCTCAGATACAAAAAAAATGTAGGAATGCCTATTATTATTAACAGGTGATATTTTATAAACAGCTCTAAGGCTCTAACCTAGTGAAGAAACACTGCTAAATTTCACAACCACTAGGTGATAACAGAGAAAAGCAGAGAGACAGTATACATGAATTTTTCCATAATTAAATAAAGAAACGCAAGATCCCGTTAATTTCCATTAACTTATCTGTCTAAAAAATATACTACAAACTTAAAGTAGTATGTCCAGACCACAATAAAAATGACATTCAACTGAATTTATACTAATGAGGGAAGGCAGAAATAATATTAAAAATTATAAAATTTCCCCATTTTAATCTTTTTAAAATTTATTTTTATTGAAATACTTAATATACAAGATTATGTTGGTTTCAGATGTACAACATAGAGATTTACAATTATAAGCATAGTTACAATCAGTAATCATACAAAAATATATTATTGACTATATTCCCTATGCTTTCATTCCTGTGACTATTTTATTTTACAGTTGGAAGTTTGTACCTTTTTTATCCCCTTCAGCTATTTCACCCATCCCTCACCCCACTTCCCTATGGCAACCACCAGTCTGTTCCTCTGTGTTTGAGTTTGTTTTGTTCATTTGTTTTTTAGATTCCACACATAAGTGCAATCATACAATATTTGATATACCATGTCACAAATGGCAAGATTTCATTCTTTTTTATGGCTAATTTTCCACTGTCTATGTGTACCACACATCCTCTTTTATCAAATCTGTTTATCACTTAGGTTGAGTCTGTATCTTGACTGCTGTAAATAATGCTGTGATGAACATAGGAGTGCATGTATCCTATCAAATTTGTGTTTTGTTTTCTTTGGATAAATTCCCAGAAATGGAATTACTGGGTTGTATGGTATTTCTATTTTTTGTTTTTGAGAAACCTCCATATTGCTTTCTTTCCACAGTGGCTAGACCAATTTACATTCCCACCAACAGTGTACAAAGGTTCCCTTTTCTCCACATCCTTACCAACACTTGTCGTTTTTTTTTTCCACAGTAGTCATTCTGACTGTTGTGATGTGATATCTCATTGTGATTTTGAATTGCATTTCCCTGATGATTAGTGATGCTCAGTATCTTTTCATGTGTCTGTTGGTCATCTGAATGTCTATGTCCATTCAAGTCCCCTGCCCATTTTTCAATTGGATTATTTGTTCCTTTTGGTGTTGAGTTGTATAAGTTCTTTATATATCTTGGGTATTACCCCCTCATCAGATATATCATTGGCAAAGATACTCTCCTATTTAGTACATTGCCTTTTCGTTTTGCTGATGGTTTCTTCTGCTGTGCAGCTTTTTTAGTTTGATGTAGTCTTACTTGTTCATTTTTGTTTTTGTATCCCTTGTGTGGGGAGACATATCCAGAAAAAAAATTACTAGTGCTGATGTTCCAGACTTTATTGCCTATATTTTCTTCTAGGAGTTTTATGGTTTCAAGTCTTATATTTAGGTCCTTAATCCATTTGTATTTTATTTTTGTGTATGGTGGAAGACAGTGATCTGGTTTTGTTCTCTTGCCTGTAGTTCTCTAGTTTTCCAAACACCATTTATTAAAAAGACTGCCTTTTCTCCATTGTATATTCTTGCTTCCTTTATCATGTATTAATTGACCATACAAGTGTGGATTTAATATTGGTTAAATTGGTCGATGTGCTCTAATCTTCTTTAGTAAGTAATACTGATTTTAATATCAATGCTTCCTCTTGGAAGCATTATGATGTAGTTATTAAGAACATGGGATTTTTGCTTGTCAATTAAATAAATTACTTAAAACCAATCCTAGGTTATCTTTAAAATGGTGATATTAAAAGCTATCTTAGAACACTGTGAAGATACAAAGTACTTAACAAGGTTCCTAGAACTAATAGCTCAAAAATGATAGCCATCTTTACAATCTTTGTCTTTCCTACTATATGAAAATGCTATCAAAAGTTGAAATGACAAAACAAATTGTAGAACTTAATGGTACCCAACAGATAACTGAACTGCAGTAGTATTTATTATATTTGACTAATTAGTTATGTTTTGCCTATTTTCCAAAATGAGATAGTAAATTGACTATTTGCCTGTAAAAAAACTATGATAAAGTGTATGTAAAATCATAAAAACTGTTAGAAGATGCCTTTCTATATGCCAAAGGTTTATGATGTAAGCCTTATTAGCATGTTTCCTATTTGCAACATGATGAATAGTCAGTCTTTCACTGCAAATGGTGCAAAAATTTAATGCTTGGGTTTATTCATTATATCTAAAGTCAGATAGGAGTTACAATTTAGTTAGGTTATGACAAAGTCATGCTTAAACAAACTTCTACAATGTCTCTTATATTATCACTTATTTTGATTTTGATTATTAAGCATATTGGCTAAATGAATTATTAATTAGAAAAGAAAAAAAACATTTATTTAGTATATACTAGTTAAAGCCCAAATTACCTTAACTGTATCATAAGCTCCAAAATAAGAGGCTCGGTACACAATGATGCCCTGAACTGAAACACCAAACCCTTGGTATAAACCAACAACTCCATCTGATTTTGCTATTTTCATAATACAGTCACCTAAACCCTTGAACTGTCGCTCTTCAGGACCTAAAATAAAGCCATTTAAAATTTATTAGCAACATTATATTTCAGATAAACACTTTAATCAAAGTATTTAATTTTACAGATTTAAATTATCTGGAACAGTCACTTAGAAATCTTTCTAACAAAGCAGGTTACCAATCAGAATCCTCTCATTTGTTTAAAGATAATTAAGATTTCAAATAATAGCTTAAAATATTTTTACTGAAAATATTAATATCTCATATATATAAGCAATCTAAATTCAAGCAGTCTGACTGGCTTTAAAACATTTCAATAAAATTACCAGAAGTTACTAGTTTGGGTTCAGAAAATACTTAGGATTGAAAAAGTTCAAGACTTGCTTCATTTGAAGACAAAAAGGACAGATACAGCAAAAAGACAAAGCTAAAAACTAGTAACTTTAAGGATTAACATTTTACATGAGGTTTCATATTTTTCTAGTGTTTGCTGGTGTCGTTTTTATTCTCTCCTGACCCAAGACTACTTAACAATATTTTTATAGTGTATGTAGAATATAACCTTTCAAAGTAAACTAAATTCTCCCAAATTTGAGAGAAAACTAAACTATAGAATGGCACTTAAAACAAGATACGTAAGTTATTTTCACTTTCTTAGCTATTGCAAGAAAATTTGGTCTGCTAGTTAAACATGTTAGGTGGGACTCCTCATCTTTGCTCAAACTGCTATCCCTTCTGAGGCATTTTCTTTGATCACTTAACTAAAGTTGATGTTACTCCCTTCTCTTAAATATTTGTTCATGTTATTTATCAGTATGTGACTGTATATTTTAGTCAATTATTAATTTTTTTATTACACGTGTCCTCTGCTAGGCTCTAAGGTACATGAGCATGAGCCCCATGTCTTATTTAGCGTGTATGTGTGTGTCACACACATCTTGCATGAGGCAGGGCTTTGTTCACAGCAGGCACTCAAAAAATACTGGTTGATTGAATCTCTGCTCCCTTAAGAAATTCTATTAAAATGATAATAAAGGAATAGAACAAGTTTAAAGCCATATAGGCAAAAAGGAGAACATGCTGGAGAATGAAATCCACAAATTTCAGCAAGATGCGAAGGAGGAGGAAAAGAAGTAAATCACCGATAGAGCAGAGAAAGCTGAAGCCTATTTTCTTGCAGAGAAGATATGTTGAAAAGTGAGCCATTTGACCCAAATAACCTCAGAAAGACTCAGAAATTAGAGGAACTAAGTAGTACTCTTGCAGTGAAAGCAAAGTAGCATTTGGATGCTCAAAATCCATATCCTCATCCTTAGCAACCAAGTGACTTCTTTGCCATCCTCAGGAGAACACAAGCCTCCAGACTGAATAGGGTCAGCTGAGTTACCTCCACAATTACTGAGAAAAGACTCACACAAAGATACATCATTGTGAACCATCAGATGATTAGGGATATTAGATAATTAAAAAGAAAAAGTCACAAACAAAACGATCAGCAGCAAGAGATTGGTTAAAGAGCAAGATTAGAAACCAAAACCCAGAGTAATGCTCTCAAAATTATGAAGAAAATAACTTAAAACCTTGAATTTTATAAATGGCCAAATATCAAGTAAGTGTAAAACAAAAGAGACATTTTTAGATATGCAAGATCTCAATTTATCTCCTATCCACTCTTCTCAGAATGCTATCAAAGAACATAATCTACCAAAGCAAGGGTGTAACAAAAACACAGGAAGATGTGATAGACAAAATAAGGAGAGAGGCAAAGGGAATCTCTAGACTGAGAGTTGGACATCTAACCTAGAGAGGAGCTGTGATCAAGGCAGGAATAAGTCCATGGAGGTGGCTCTCTAAGAAAAAACTGGAAGTTATAAACATCTCTATGTTTGCCCTGTTGTTACTACAGTGTTGGCTTTCCCCTTCCTTTTTTTAAGGAAAAAGAAAAAAGTACATCTTTAGGTCTCATGACCCTACCATTTGGCTGAGAATAAAATTTTTAGACTGTATCTAACAACATTGTTATAGCATACTCTACAATAAACAACACATTGTTCAAAACACAAAGAAGGAAGAGTTAGTATTTCTAAAATTCCCATACCTTTTCCAATATCAGCACCTAATCGGGTTCGGGCAAAATCCAGCGGATATACTACACATAAGGATGTTGCCCCAGCAGCTCCTCCAGAAGCCAGGTTTGCCAAAAACCACCTCCAGAACTGAAACATTAATTAAAAAGTAGTTGTTAAACTACAGAACATGACTATTTAAATGTTACTTTTATAAAGGTTAAAGAGCCAGATTTGCAAACTGCTTTTTATAAAGTAAACATCACAAAAATAAGTGTATTATCTATAATTCTTCTCATGTCCATGTTGCCTTTGTTTTTTTACCAAGCAGTCTAGGAAATAACAGTTTAGATGCTGACATACCAAAATTCCAAGGTATTTTAATGGGCTTCAGGAAAAGTAGCCCAATTAGCAAAATAGGACACATAAGATAATCTGTTTAGACCGTATATATTTTTGTTAATAATTGTGTTAGTTATGACTAAAATGTCAGGTATCTATGGAGGTTTTCCTTGTACTTTTTGGTGGGGTGGGTCACTAGTACTTCACAGTGCTGCAATTTCACTTTGTATTTTTAGTAGAATTAAATTTAAACAGCTCAAAATATATATTATATTAAAATGCTGACATGAAAATTGGCAGAAAATAATTTTAATTTACTTGAATAGTATTAAGTTAGGCCTTTTCTATTGGTTCACATGGGCTGCTGAGTTTCTTTCTGATAAGCACTTAAAATATGGCCTGCCTAGGTCCAGTAAACTGTTTTCAACATCTAGAGCTTATTGGAGAAAAAAGAAATATTTGAGTTGGAGCTATTATAGAAAGCCTAGAGTTACAAGGCCACTGTAACTATTAAATGCATTCAAGTGAGTAATATTCTAGCCAAGCTCAGTTTCTTACTTTATTCTCTGGCTCTATTTCTAACAATAGTTTTAAATCTCAGATAGCTTTGGAACTCTCAATTTTCTCTTGGCCTGGAATGTCCTTCCCTTCTTTTTTTAAACAAAAAAGTTACTGATTTACGTTCTAATTCAAATTTTACTCCATCTGTGAAATCTCTGATCTCCAACATATCTAAAACTGTATATAATAATCTCTTCTCATAAATATCTAGGAGAATTATAAGAGAAATATGTGCTCAAAATATAAAATGTGTCAACATGTTTCAGATTCTAATTTTAATAGTATTTACAATCAATTTCTACTTTCACTTTATAATTATATAGATACATATCTTACCTTTTACCGACTATACATTTCTTGAGACCAGGATTGTTATTATTTTTATATAACACCTTTGCTGAGCTATATTTACACCACCGTGTAATTCACCTATTTAAAGTATACAGTTTAATGGACTGTTACTATAATCACAGAATGACTCTATCACCAGTTTCATAATATTTTCATCACCCCCAAAAGAAACCCTGATCTATTAGTCACTCTACATCCTCTCTACCCACCATGACCTAGGTAACTATTAAGCTACTTTCTGTCTCTATGGATTCGCCTATTCTGGACATTTCTTATACATAGAATACTATAAGATGTAATTTTTTGTGACTGGCTTCTTTCATCTAACAGATTTCATTTCAAGATTCATCCATGTTGTAGCACATAATAGCTACAACATGTTTTTTCATTCCTTTTTGTTGCCAAATATTCCGTTATATGGATTTACATTTTATTTATCCATTCTTCAGTTCACGGACATTTTGGTTGTTTGCATTGTTTTTTGAGGCCAGGATTCTTAAGTCATCTGTTTATTTCATGAAGCAAGTCATGGAGCCTTGCCCAGAATAGCAGTATTGCATTAAATAAATATTTATTTAATGAAAGGTAGCAGGAATGCCACCTACTATTCTCATAGTCCTATGGCTCCTTTTAAATGAACTCAAATTCTGTGTGGATAGCCATGTTTCAAAATCACAGAGAGCTAATTACATCAGGAGACTGCATCTGACTGACTCCATTGTAGCTAATCCATAGTCTAGTAGGTGATGTGTAACCTAGTAGAAAAGATTAGTGGGGCCAAAGTCTATTTTCTGGGAATTTAAACTCTAGAAAATCCCATGCCAGTTAGCAGTAAAGACAGATATGGAAAGGGTATTAAATAACATTTTTTAGGTCTCAGTCTACTTTGGGGCTGTTGAAAGCTATAGATCCTCTTCCAATAAAAAATAATGTAAGTATAAACATACAGTTTCATACATGTTTTTATGCATGTGTGTTTAAGGTATTCCTCAAGCATGTATGAATCCTAGGTAAAGAACCTCTGGCCTTCTGAAAGGTCAGAAGGCACATTATGATATTAACACTGAGCTTAAAACAAATATGAAAATACAGGTTGAGTTAAAAAGGTAGGCAATAATGGGAAAACATAGTGTAGGGAAAATACAAGTTCCTATGGCCAGGATCCTCACTTGACCCTAAACTACTTGATGATGTAATTGACTTATTGTGTAGGCTAAGTTTACACACCTGTGGGCAATGAGCCACTGTGGTGTTACTATCCAAAGAGCTCTGCCTAGTGCTCTGCCTGGAGGCAGAGATGGAGAAGGATTGTGAACTTGCAGGAAGCAGACATGATGCCAGCACTTGACCTGCCAATGTGAGAATAAATCTTTGTATAAACCCTTTTACCCCTAACTTGCACTGTTGTTACTAGGTCTCACTGAATCCAGAGTGAACTTGTCCAGGGGGCAGTCCCCTCAGATGAGACCCAAAGCAAACACAAAAGTAGATAGACAGATAGATAGATAGATGATAGATAGATAGACAGATAGACAGATAGATAGATAGATAGATGATAGATAGATACCAAGTAACCTAAGAGACAAAAGATTAAGAGTGTAGTTTGAGCCCCAAAGCTGCTTTGATTTAAATTCGTGCCAGTGTATCATTGCAATAAGAACCTCTTTTTCTTGAGGTAGGTAGTGTACGTCTCTGCTTCTTACAACCAAGTAAGTCAAACCAAACATGATATGAAGTATAAAGGTTTATAAAGTACAGCTTCAGTTCTATTTAATCTTCTTTTTTTTCCTTTCCTAGGTAAGAGAAAGGCAGATCAATGACTTTCGGGGTGGATGATGTACAATTTATTATTCAAACCAGGACACTTATGATAATGAAAGTGGAGCAAATGAAAAAATTGACACAGGCAGGCACATGTATAAATAGTATGGCCAAGCTACTACTGATGGAAGGAAGGAGAGGGAGACAAGAGAGAATCTATGTTGAATGATAATCCTACAAGTGTTCGTATAAAAAACAACATCTGTCCCCGCAAAATTAAGCTAAAAAACAAAACAGACCCAGGAGAGGTGGTATATCTAAGTTTTAGTTATTATAATTTATAGTAATTTCATATTAATAGACTGCAAGAGGAGAGGGCATGGAGAAGAATCAGGGAGAGAAGGATGAAAGAATATTGAGGGTTTTGGAAAAAAAATGATCCTGTTTATTTTCATCTGTTGACAAATAGATACTGTATGAACAGTCCCAATGATGCACGGAGGAACAAATACCGAGACCAAAGTTCTTTCTAACAGAGTCTGTCTGGGCATGGAAGAGAGCTGAGAAAAGTTCTAGTTATCCATGCTGAAGGCTGTGCTGGAAGCTACTAATGGGTAGTAGAGAAACATTTTATGCCAGGCTCAGCTAAGGCTCATCTAGTCTTGTCACCTCAGCTGAGAGAGGAATAGAGTATGGTAGAGGATGTGAGTTTGAGAATTAGAAAGACCTGAACAAATGACTTGGGCATGAGCTTTAAGTTCTGAGTCTTGCTGTCCTTATCTACGTTTGGGACAAAAATACCTCAAAGAGTGAGGTGAAGATTCAGTGAAACATATATAGTAGACACATACTTCCCTACCATTGTTATTTTTTTTTAAACTTTCTCTTATGAGATAATTGCAGATTCACATTCATCCTAAGAAATAATATAGAGAAAGTCTATAAACTCTTCAACCAATTTCCCCAATGGTAATATTTAGCCTGATTATGGTAGAGGAAATTATCATTGATAGAAACCTACCTTACTCAGATTTCACGTTTTACATACACTCATTTGTGTATGTAGTTCTATGCAGTTCTATCACATGTGCAGATCATGGAACCACCACTGTGGTCAAGAGTTCCACAGTGGGTAACCAAAGAGGGTACATGATAAGATCCCTCAATGTACCCTTTTACAGCCACAGCCACCTCCCTCTCTCTTGGCAACCACTATGTTTGCCATCTCTGTAATTTTGTCACTTCAAGAATGTTACATAAATGGAATCAGAAAACAAACAGTTTTTAAGATTGCCCTTTTTCAGCCAGAGACGGGTAAGATTCCTCAAGGGAGGAACAACCTAAGACAGGCACAGTCGCAGGGGGGCCATCAGGTGAGAAATTGGGGATCAACAGAGGTGAGGCTTAGAACCTCACGCCCCTGTTTTGAGAGAAATCTTCTGCATCCGTGGATGTTTTATTGCCCTTGTCTAGCTTGGATTAACACTTAGTCTACAGGCACACACCTGATCATCTA